AACCCCCCCCCCTTTACCGTCAGAATCATAGACAGGTTTCAGAAATTACAGGCTAACGATGGGACCAAACGACCCATTCATCGGTTACCATTGCATGTTTCCAAGCAATACAAGGCTTTGTCTATATAAGACTCAAACTCACTGTGGATCCAGACATTTGAATTCAGAAAGCTTCCTGGAGAGGTGGCGAAAAGTCTTCAAATCTTGGAAGCAAAGTCCAGTGGATATTTTTTGAATTTTTACGGATTTACTCTTTATAAATAAGCATGGATTAAAAAAAAAAATATAGAAAAGCACTGTATAGTAACAGAACAAAAAAAAAATCCCTGTCTGTTGCTCTGCTTTCCTGCTGCTTTCCACCATCTATCCCTGACAGCAGGAGCTCTGAAACATACAGTATATTATTACTTACCATACTAACTAAAAGATCAGAATTGAGCGTTAAGGCCTGCAGTGTGAATGTAGCCACACAATAAACATATTTACACTCATGCCTCCCCCCACCACATCACAACAAGCACATACTTTTCTCATCAATTTTGTGGACCTTTCCATTGACTTCCATTAATTTCTAAAGCTTAACCGTGTCTTGCCCTAGTCCTAACCATTATGGGTTCATATCTAACCCCAAGCCCAACCTAAACTCAATCCTGTTAAAGATAGGCTCTATTTATGCACCCTGATGCTCTATCTCTTCAGGTCTTTTCCCTGAAAAGAGATAATTCGGGACAAACTCTTAAAATAACACTTCATAACTTATATATATATATATTTTAAATAACCAGAAGATATGACAACAGAAATTGCTTAGAGTTTACAGAATGACTGCTCATTGCTGCTCACCTCCGGGGTCACTTCAGTTTAACAGTTAAAAAGGCATTTTATACATCTCCAGTCTGCCACATCTTCATATTTTTTATTATACACGTTAGCAGATTAGTAGACATCCATGCCTCCAGCCTTATCAAAATATTACGCTTCGTTTTTACCTGAAGGACAGCGCTCTCATTCCATTTCCAAATCTGTGCCACGTACAGAATGAAGATTATAACTGTATATCCAGACAGAGATACTGTCTTAATTAGATTAACTATTGTGGAAAATATCAATTCTGACAGTTCTGGATCCAGGCATAGGGCCCAACAAAGAGCAGCTAGTCACAACAACATGCCATTTTTCCAGAAAATAGCCCTAACAATATTACCGAAAAACAAGAAGACACACACACGATTGTATTTCTATCCATATTGAGACTCTACATTGACTTAAATTCATTTTAGTTACTGCATTTAAACCTAACCCTGACATTTACCATAACCCTAACCATTATCAGCATATTCCTAACCATAACCTTAACCTAAACTTGATTAACACCATACCTCTAAACGGACTCTCTAAGTTAAAAATGGGGTCAGCACATTAGGACCCTTCGGTCTCCATGGACTTCCATTCATGTTGCATTCCTTTCTAACCAAGACCATTACCCTAACCATTACAGAAACATACCTAACCTTCATCCTAACCTAAACTCAATTCATAGCTTAGTCTTAAACCCAACACCCATCCCAAGAAGATAACCTTTCCTCATGGGGACCAGTCATTGGTCCCCACAAGTATAAATCCGAATAATGTGGCATATTCCTGGGAAATTGTCCCTACAAGGTGACAAAATATGGTGACTAACACTCAAACTGAGACAATTACCAAGTGTCACTATTTCAGTGGGAACTTTCCACTGACTTTATTTATTTGCATGTGATTTCTACAGCCCAACCATGACCTTTATTCTAAACCTAACCATTAGTGTTACAGACATAACCCTAACCAAAACACAATTCACATCCTAGTCCTAACTAAAACAGTAATCTCCCCCAAGGCAACCTGGCGGAGGTCCCCTCAAGGATGATAGATCCCCAAAAGATTTTGATAGAAAGTGGCCCCCACCATGTAGGAAAAACAAATGCGTACATACACACCGAGCACACAAAGAGACCAACATAATGATATTGAAAGGCTGAAGAAAAGCTAATAAAAAGGCTGAGTTCAGAGAAATGGCACATTGAGTTTTAGTTTGCTTTGAGAATCAAATCTGCAATTGGTTTAGTCTGCAACGTTGTGCTTTTATTAACACAGGCTACGTAGAACCCAGTCTGGGGGCTTCCAGCCAGCAGATCAAGAAGCCAGCCAGTTTAGAAGAGGAGGCTTGCGTGCAACAGCAGGGCCGAGACTGACCAGAACCTCTGAATCTAACCCCACATGGTAAAGCAAGTTGTGTTTCTACATTTTCCTATTTTCAGTATATGATGAATAATGTTATATGTCTCTTGATACAATTTGTTGCTGTCAGTGATCTGAATATTCCATTCAGTCAATGGACCAAGGAGCAAGTGTGTAGTTGGCTTGAGGACTATGGACTTGGCCAATACATCAATCTCACCAGACAGTGGGTTGAAAATGGGCAGACACTTTTGTCAGCCACACCTCAAGATTTTGAGAAGGTTAGAGAACTTTAAGCCAAGCAGAAAATGTAGACATTTATCCATTCAAATAGTATATAATTTATCGGAGCCCATCTTTTATTTTATGTTGACCTTTCCTTTTGATTTCAGGAAATGGGTATGAAGCATCCCCTTCACAGGAAAAAGCTGCAACTTGGTTTAAGGGCTTTTACTTCCAAAGTTACAGAGAAATCCTCAGAGTTGGACCACATCTGGGTTACCCGTAAGAGTTTATATGCAACAAATTCTTCTCAAACCTTTCTAACTTTTGTCAGATATAAACTCACAAAGTACTGTTTAAAACACAATGTGGTAGGTAAACCCATTGCATGATAACAAGCAATTTAACATTTGTCAAAACAAAGAGATAAAAGTTTGCACAGTATTTGCAATAAGGACGTTTTATAATGTATTTGAGTGAGCACAGTTATGATGCTATTTTTTTCTACATAGGATGGCTGGATGATATTGGCTTGCCTCAGTATAAGGATCTATTTTATGAGGCTAGAGTCGATGGACGGATGATTCAGTATCTAACTGTGGTAAGATCTAATTGAATGTTTTTGAATTTTGAATTTTTGAATTCACCTAAAAATCATTAAGTTGTTTAAGTTATTTTTTTATTTATTTACTTTTGTCATCACAGAATGATCTCTTGACATTAAAGGTCACCAGCCAGCTTCATCATCTCAGCATTAAATGTGCTATTCATGTTCTTCATGTCAATAAGTTCAACCCAAATTGTCTTCGGCGCAGACCTGGGGAAGAGGTTTGTTAACAAAAAAATTATCAAGTTAAATAAAAAAGCACTTGGACAGTGCAGACCCTTACATATTGTGACTACCACCTTAGGTTTATCCCGTTATTGACAGAATATAAAAAAAAAATCCTGGATCATCACCAAAATCTTTTAATTTGTCTCCAGTCACGATATTCACCCTCTGAATATTTCAGCAAAGTCCATAACTTTTTTATTTTTTAGAAAACAGACAAACAGAATGACAAGCCAATGCAAATAAAGACATAATATTCTTGGTAGAGGTAAAAATAACATTATACTGAATAGTCAGAGTACATCCTTGCCTTATAGATATTTAAATGCAAGAATATTCCTAAAAGGCCTCTGGATACTGGAATGTTGTAATCTAACAAAAAATCCACAAGATGGCAGCAGAGGGGACATGTATTTAAATGCAGCATTGGTTTTGCTTTTAAAAATTTGCTCTTATCATCAATGAGGTATTATACATTAATTTGTTAAGAGTTAAGCAGATATTTGTGTAATTTTGGTAGTATATGATTTTAAATATTTGTTTTACTTTTATTCACAGAAACACCCCTCTCCTTCAGAAGTAGTACAGTGGTCAAACCACTGTGTAATGGAATGGCTAAGAGCAGTTGATCTTGCTGAGTATGCACCTAATCTACGGGGGAGTGGTGTACATGGTGGACTTATTGTAAGTACAGTGAAAAAACAAACAAAGCAAATGGAGAGTCCCACCGCCCCCCACCTATTTGCCTTATTTTCAGTTTGGTGGTATTATATTGAATAGGATATTGTAACTGCTAATTTGCATGTCTAAAAACAGTTACAAAAATTACATTTGGAAAAAAACAGTTTATTATGTGACTATAAGGGGGTTTAGATAATAAAAAATTATTAGCTGGAAACCCACCTCATGAGGGCATAGTCATATTCTATTATACTTTGGTGAGAGATGTGATCAACCACTTCAGTCAATCCTGGGGGTCAGTGGAGGGTAAGGATAACAATAAATAGGCTAAAATAGAAATTATGTTGCATCAAATGGGGCTAATCCTATTTAATTACCCACTTTTCAATCCTAAATTTATTCGGAATCATATGACAGTAGTGCAGAGCAGTGATACTCATACCCCTGGTGGTCTGCCAGTGCATTGCAGACATCAAAAATATTGTATATGCAGAGAACAGCCTTGGATCAGCTGTTTTTTTACACTAAGCTATTAGAGCTAATCAAAGCTGCTCTGGTGAAAACAAAATAAAACTAATTAAGTCAGTGTGACTAAAATTTTTGTTCAGCATTTTGCTCCCAATTCATCAAGTTTAAATGCGATTATAAGGGAGTTACTCAGAGGGCACATTTATAATATTTTATTTTGATTCCTTACTAACTTCCAGGAAACATATTTATTTTGTTTTTTTTTAGTTGAGATAGAAAGAATAAAATGTCTAAGAATTAAATGCTTGAATTAAAAGATTAAGTAGAATCGTTTTTATTTTATTATGAGTTATTGTACGTTCCACTTTTGGACAATCATAAATAGTTATGACTGAGGTGGGTACTCAGGGTAAGACAAAAACGCCCAAAGGGGTACACAAGAGAAAAAAGGTTGGGAAGCACTGATCTAGAGAGACAAAAAAAACAGGGCTTCAGAGAAGAACATTTCCCATTTGCAATCATTTTTATAGGTTGTGGCTTTAGAAAATGAAAAACATAAATAATAAAAAAAAATATACATATTTTCTATTTTCTGTGTTAGGTCGAAATATATATATATTTTTTTTGCCCCCTTTTTTTGTCCATAGATCCTGGAGCCTCGGTTTAGCTCTGAGACTTTGGCCCTGCTTTTAAATATTCCTCCACAAAAGACTTTGCTTCGACGTCATCTTGCCACTGCTTTTGCTGCCTTGGTTGGGCCTCAAGCCATGCAGGAGAAACGGGACTATGGCAATGCCACAGGCCATGTACCACTTACTACCACTGCTAAAGTAAAAGTAAGATGCCCATTTAAATAAATCATTTGGTCACTGTTGTTAGAAGAAACAAATCTTGATATCATAATGGGTGAGTATTGTGTTTAACCATTTGTGTTCTTTCAGCCTAAGAAGCTGGGCTTCACTCAATTCAGTCATCTCAGAAAGAGGAAATCGGATGAATCTGCAGACTACATATGCCCAATAGACACGGAGGCACTAAAAATGAATGGAGTTTCTCGCTTGCTTTCTCCATCCCACAGAGGCTTCAGCTCAACTTTGGACAGACGAGTTGAAAAGTGGCAATCAGCAGGTCTAAAAGCTCAAACAACAGATCCAGTTGATACCTGAATAAACACACATAATTCTGGATCTTTCAAACATATGCTGACTTAAACTTTCAAGAAAAAATTATTTGGCTTTTCACCAGGACCTATTTATCTTGGGATCTGCTGGATGGGCTGAAAATGAGATTTTGAATACAAGTAACAACTGTTTTATTTTTCACAGCTTTATTTTTTATTATTTTTTCAGATGTAATTTCAAAGCTATCAATATTTAAGTGGTAATAATACATTATGCCAAAAGTATTTGTTTGCCTACTTTTTACATACACAATCAATTTTATGACTCTATTTTTATTTTATGGGGTCCAATGTGTTGATGGACCTCCATTCCGAGTAACAGAAACTGTTACTATTCTGTAAACATCTTCTGCAAGGGTGGGTGTTTAGAGTGGAGAAAATAGTTAGAAGAAGACCAGAATTGCAGCATCCTCTTTTCTTGATCCCAGTGCTTTGTAGGGTAGGCCACGACATATTGGAGGCAGTCAAATTTTACATCACCAACCTTGATACAAAACGCAAAAGATCTAAATTCAATAAGTTATTGGTTTGATCCAATGCATTTATTTATGTATTCTGGCTTTTTTGTGAATAGTATAGAAAAGGCTGCTCAGTGCATTCCTAAAGAATATTGATTCCGAAGCTTACCCCATTGCTTTAGAAATATTTTATTGGCCATTTTGTACTTTCTTTATGTCAGAATATTTTGATGTATATCAGGATTGTCTGTACGGCATAATAAATGGCATTAGGTTCCTCAAGACAGTCCTTTCTTTATGTCTGTCGGTGTGTGTGTGTTTGTGTGTATGCGGCGGGGGGGAGCTCTGGATTTTGAATTCTTTTCGAGTTTTCTACCCCTGGTATTGCGTTTGGACTTAGAAAAAGAAAAAAAAAAGTATTGGACGGCTTCATGGCCCCGAGTGAGTTCATTTTTTAACTCCCTTCAGCTATTAGTCTCTTTATCATCTTATTTTGAAATTCACTGGGATTTTTCTGAAAAAAAAAAAAAAAAAAAACACGAAGCAGCACCTAGAGGCTAACTTTCCAAACAGAAAAGGGATGGTTGGTACATAGAATCATTTTGTGGTTAAAGTGTAAACATATAGTGTAAGGTGAATTCTAAATATATTCCTGGGAGCTTAGACATGCAAAATAACTTCCTTTTTAACAGCAGAGATGTTTTCTGCAACTATTTAATGTGACAGCTCGTCTTGCTTGTTTGAACGAAGCAGCTTTTTGGCTTTTGTTAGACATGGCCACACAGAGATCACCCTCAAATCTGAGGAGTCGTGATCTGTACTTTTGTTTCATGTATGTCTGTGCAGATATGTGGGTGCAAATGGACACAATGCATCAGTTGAAGTTTTCTAAAGTGCTGGGTACTCTGTTGCTACTAACAACCAGAACTTTTTCAGCACGCATGCGCACACCTAAGAGTCTGTAATGTATGATCAGAGGAGAGGTCGAGCAGGGCTTCTTGCATCTCTGATGACATGTGATGCGAGATGATGGTGAAAGGCTGCCCTATCCAATGATACTTTTCCAGCATGTCATAATTTGGGGAATACTTATTGAAACTTTTAAGCAATTTCCTGAGGTGGCAATACTTTTTTCATAGTTTGTATGTTTATGTCATTACTCCCCATAAAGACTTCAAGCTACATTTCACCACTTTCCCCATCAAGTTGGACAGCCCACAACTCCAGCGTCCTTCTAAATGCTGTGAACTTAGTGGACAGATTCGTTGTTTAGTTACCGACAGCAACTGGCTTTGTGATAAAATGCCTGAGACAACCGCTCACCTCCCTTCTTATGTCTGGTCAGAAGTTACATTAATTTTGCACATATATATTTTTCTAAATGATTAGGCAATCCACAGAAATCATCTCGTGACATCAATTGGGGTCTATACCCTAAGGTTGAGAATGTCTGTTTTAGATAATCAAATAATGCTATTTGTAGATAGATCTGTAAATCTGTCGGTGTTGGCATGTAGCTGCGGTATGGAACAGAAAAAAGTTTCTTAGAATTACTCTGTGGGAAAAAAAGATCATAGTATATCATATTGTTTTGAGGTAAAAACAAAATAAAAGCTTAAAATATTAGCTGAAAGTATGCTTCTCAGCACCTTTTTTTTATTATTTACAGCATAATTTGTTTTTGTTAGTATGTATAATTTCACATTCAATTTACATACTTTTTTTTGTTAATGAATCATCTTTGTAACAAAACTTAATGTTCCCAGTAATTTAGTTTGTTACAGTACTTGTCAACATTTGATTAACATGCTGGCAGATCTCTACTAGTCTAAACTGACTAAAAGTGGCAGTGCTTGGTCAAAAGCTCACTTAATAATAAGTAGTTTATCCATTCTGAGTCCTGTAAGTGAAAAAGTGTACTTTAAATAACATTTTTAAAATCAGTTGAAGATTGTGTAAAATAGTGGGTTGTGTGAAACAGGTGTTGCAGAGAAATAAAGGCTACAAAAATGGCTTTACTTTTAAAATACAAATGCATTGTCTGCAAATCTTAAGCATAACAATAACGGCAATTGGTATTATTGCTAATCTGGTTCTAACAAAACAACAAAACTCTTTTAGCTTTAGATACTATCTAAAGCTATATATACTGATAAACTTTTAAAAGAAATTTGAGAGATATAGGAGCAATAGTTGGCATATTTTACTATTTTAATAAAATTTGTTTCTCAAGTATAGAAGTAAAATTTTATTATGCACAATAAAATAAAAATTGTTAAATGAGAAGGATAATCATAATATAACATTTCTATCAATCCTTTTAAACCAGCAGGTGTCAGTGTTGCCTTGGAAGTCTTACAGAAATGGCACCAATTATGAGCTTATATCTTTAGTTTCAGTTTCAACATTTATGATTTAGCAGAGAAGAAATATGATCAATTTTACTTTGGTGTAACAATTTCATCACCCAATTTGCTCTGTAGTCTTGAAAAGTCAAACATTTTTCAAAACTCAGCCTGAAACTCATTTTTCAGTGCGTGAATTGCAGAGTATGAGAATTTCAAGTTTCTTTTTCACTCTAATTGTAAAATAAGTGAATATTTGGTTTGTTAGACTTGTTAGACTTTTTAAGACAAAAAAAATAAATAAAAATAAACTCAAGTCAAACCTTTATGACTTAACCTTTTTTTTTTTTACTTCTTTGCGTAGAGAGGTTGGCTTTGTTTATAATAGAGTATCTTGGGCTAATTTCAGTAATGTGATTTAGCCTGCACCCGCTGACAGTTTAATAGCTCTTATTTGTGTCACTCTCTCTCATAATGCCCCTGCTATAAATTGTTATGTGCAGTGAAGTAAGATTTGACTGACATCTTACCTTGCAATATGGCATCTATTGTTTTAATTAAGTGAAAGTGTTAGTGAAATTTATTGGTTTTGAAGTTACTTGTTAACAACTCCAAGACAAAAACAGTGAAATGGAATCATTATGGTTTACATTACATACATAATTTGTCAACCATTGCAAATGATTAAACATTATCTCACAGTCATTGTCAATTCATGTGCTACTCCGCTGTATCACATGGTTTTGATCTTTTTTTTTCTTATTATTCTTCATTCAGCTTTTTCCCTTCAGTTTTTTGTTTTTAATACCATTTTGTTCATTCTAATAAGAGGCCAGTTTGGGGTTATTTCACTAACAAGTCTATGTATTTTTTTACTTTTCCCTTTTCTGCCTGATCAATGGACCCTTTCAGATGATTAGTGGACTTAATCATATTTTTATCTGATGTCTCTGGGCATTCCTTTCAGTAAAATACCACCAGCTGGCCAGTTAAGGTAACATATTTTATATTAAGTCAATACTTGTGCCGGATACTCTCTACCAAGCCACTGAAGCTGAATCTGTCTCAGCCACACCAGTTTGTTCTGACAGGCCTGCCACAATGATGACTACATCATCCAGATGCGGCACAGTGCCTCTGAGCCAGTGCTGACATCTTGTCTAAAGGAGCAGCCAGTTGTCTACACCAGTTTCCTTCTGACCCATCAAACCTCAGAGCCTCATCTCATTTCTTACAACCAGGAAACATCACCCATGCTGGTTGCTCATTTTCCCTTTCTCCAAGATGAGTTCACTCAACGTGACAGACTTGAGTCGTTTTTTAATTTTTTGCAATATTTTGCAGCTTAAAATTGATAAATTACCAAAAGACATTTTGAACTCACTGCAATAAACTTTATGAGAGCGTTGGTCTTGAAAAACATGTCAGAAACAGAAGAAAATTATATTAAAGAACAAAGTACATAATAACTAAATTTGATCCTTTTATGGTCACTTAAAGATGATCCAGTTAAAAAGGATTAAACTTCAAAAATATTAGTTCAACACCCACAACAGTTATTACCTGATACTAATATTGGATTACTAAAGAGAGACAGCAGGCGCAAATTGTGGCAGAGAGCCTGCCACTGATTTCTATGACCTGCCCCAACACCGGAGCGGGTGCCAGACAGCCCTGCTGTCTATTTTGGCTATTTTGAATGACAGCCACGCTGCAGCAGATCGTTGCCAATAAATGACTTTTGAGGGTACAGTTACATTTCCCAGAGTACTTAATATGGACAACAGAGAACAAATTGAAACCCTTCAGGCCATGTAAAATTGGAAGGGAGATTACGATGAGAACTCTCCAGCCAAACTTTTATCTTTGGTTTTTAGAAATGACTACAACAAGCTCTGCTCTGTCATTATTAATCTGCAAAATCTCAAGGTTTTTGCAAGATTTGGGGAACAATTACTACTCTTTGTGGCAGGTGTCAGGGTTAGTTTTGGTAGGGGACCCAAATGCAGAGGCAGACAGGCTGAGGAGATTTCTGGGTGTTTTAATGGGGCAACAGTAAACAAAGGCAGGGATCCAAAAATGCAACTAATAATAAAAAGGCAAACCAGAACAGAGGAGACATCTGGGAAAAACCAAACACGAGGAGCCAGGAGGAGACGAGGAACATAGACCACAGCATGGGAAGACAGCAAAGACAAGGAACCAACAAAGAGTGAGAGCAGAGGGAGAGCATATATAGGAGACAGAGACAAAGGGAGGGCTAACGAGCAGACAAGGAACAGGTGTGAGAGGAGACAACGAGGGAGCCAAGGGGAAGGGAACATACACACACAAGAGGGCAAAAGAGGACAACAGAAAAACTTGAGAACTAATATAAATCTAGAAATACAACAAAACTGGAATTAGGCTAATAAATCTAGAAAACAAGGAGCAAAGAAAAGAACAGCAGAACCACGACCATGACAGCAGGATTGTCAATTATCAAGTTATGGCAGCCAATGTATCTGCTCACACTTTTTGTTTCTACCATGGCATCTTCTGGCATCCTTTGGTGTCTTCTTGGCCAGAGAATTCTACAGATTACCAGCATGTTTTTAAGTGATTTTCTTTTTCTGCAACAACCCAGCTAAGCTCTAAGCTGCAGTGAGTCTTTGCCATGATTTCAGCATGCCATATAACCTACATACCATGTATTAGGACATATATTTAATATATGAAGTATACAATCACTCATATTGCTTTCAGTAAAAAAAAAAAAAAACATTTTCAGGGTATCCTCTCTACACCTATTGATTGCTTGAGTCTTGGCACTGACACAAAAGAATTCAAAAGACATAGTTTGAGTGTAAGGTTATTGTACTTTTGGATACACCTACCCCTGATCTGAATCCAAATAGAAATTCGTATGTAAACTTAAAAAAAAAAAAGAA